ATGGGTGCCAGTTCTAATACCAGTGGCCTCACTTCCCATCCAGCTCCTTGCTTGTGGCCTGGGAAAGCAGATGAAGACAGCCCAAAGCCTTGGGACCCTGCACCCGTGTGGGAGACCTAGAAGTGGCTCCAGGCACCTGTCTTCAGATTGGCTCAGCTCCAGCCGTTCTGGCCACTTGAGGAGTGAATCAACAGATAGAAGGTCTTCCTCTCTGTTTCTCCTTCTCCCTGCATATCTGAATTTCCAATAAAAATAAAAGAAAACAAATCTTTTTTAAAAAGAATGTGGTGTTTTGGATTATAGTGTAGCAAAAATTTTGGTTATTGAACAGGACAAAGAAACTACTGAATACCCTGGCCTTCTCAGAATTAAATACCACAATAGGCCTGCTACATGTACAGAGATCACTTCGATCATTAGGCACTTGCCATAAGGACACACACAAAATAAATATTTCCTCAACAAAGAAAATGCATTAAGTGGAGCACTTTATCTCATCAGAGTGTCATATAAGCACTGAGTTCAAGCTGAATGTGCTATTCTAGGGGTAGGGTAGAAAGCAACATTTAAAGGTTTCTTTTTCCTTCATTAAGCGCATACCAATGTATTATGTACAGCCACTGGTCCATCTATGAAATCACAGTGAAGTTTAAAGACACAACGAATAATGGAATGTGTCCTAGACCCAGGCTGGCTCTAAATACTCAATAAGCATACAGATCAGGTTTCCCATTCTATAGTGCACAATTTATATAAAGAAAAAATGTGAAGAGAAATCTATGAATCTCCCACTCCCAACATATTTCAGACATGTGAATTTACATGAACTGTAGCAAAGAGGCTCTGTGCCATACTTTTAAGGCATAAACATTGCTTGTTTGCCATTTAGCAGCTCTCTCACACGCAGATAATTGAGCGGTGCTTCTCTAAAGTTCTAAACCCCCATCGATCAGCACCATTTTCCATGAGTGCACACACAAAAGTAGGTCAGGTACATGAGAAAAATAACTTTGGGACAACCAAATGAAAATAAATATCAGATTTTTTTGTGACATAAAATGATGTAATTCATATGTCATTGTTACCTTTCAGTATCTGAATGCACAGGTTTTATGCTTATCATGTGACATACAATGAATTCTGAATTTCCCTCAAAAATTTATTTACATAAAAGTAGCTACTGGATACACAGAACTGAAATTTCGGCAGGTCAGGGTTACTAAACACTTTTATCTGCTTACACTATAATATGTTGTGCCTAGAGTAAAAGAAATACATTCATATTAAATTTCCTTTAATACAGTGATTAAGGCTGGTTCAACTTTGCACCAAACTTCTAGAAGTCAAGTCACTTCTAGAAATATGGTTTCCTAAATGATAAGATCAACTGTTTTAGGAAACATTGGAGTGGGGCATAGTTAGCCACTATTCTCTGTAACTTAAAATTGCAAATAAACAGATGTTTAGAAAAGTGTAGTTTAGTAATCACTACTTCCAAAAAAGTTATGAACACTCACTTGGTTTGCAAACTTAATTCTTCCTATTAGTAAAATGGCAACCAATAGTTCCTACATATGATCAGCAGCAATGCTTCGATTGAAAACCAAAGGGGACAGACTTTGGGCCTACAGATGCCAGCTGAGACACAGCAACCCATTTCAGCGTGCCTGTGTTTGAGTCCCAGCTCAACCTCCCATCCCAGCTTCCTGTTAACGCACATGTTGGGAGGTGGTGACGGCTTAAGTAGTTCGGTTTCTGCCACCCTGTGAGAGCCCTGGATTGCTATCTAGGCCAGGGCTAGCTGGGACAGGGATTTGGGGAGTGATCCCGCAGATAGGAGTGGCTATTCTCTCTGTGTTTATGTGTGTGTGTCTCTATATTTTCATCTAAGTAGCAACTTAGGGCCAAAAATCCAACTAGAAATCATTTTTGTTCTACTTAGAAAGACCAAGAATCTATATACAAATGGTTGAGGATGAGAGTGATTGTGTAGGGGAAATAAGATACGATAATTTAATGACTTAGTAGTTCTAAGTTAGTGGATCAATACTTTTCACTCAGTTGAACTGCAAGGAAACAACTCCTAATTTTATGCTGAAACATAAATAACTCAAAACCATAGATGATAAAATATAATTTTATTTGGAATGGTCCGCTGTGGTACATAAAGTGAAGTATGGCTGTCTAATATTCTACAAATTTATAAACTTTAAACAAAATCAGTCACAATGAAGAAATAGAGAAATAATCACTTTTCTTAATATGTGGAATATTCCTTGATCTTTATTATTATTTAGAAAAGAATATTGTACGTGAGTTTAACATTTTTATGCTATGCATTGTGTTTGATGCTTTCCCTGAATTGGATAAAATGAGGTATTTTATTTCAAATTCACACTGAACAATGAGAATTACAGAATTAAACTAAACAAATATCAGGCTGTGAAAAACTTATAATACCTATCACGATACCAAAATGGCTGATTTATTAAGCGTCACTTTCCACTAGGCTAATATTATTAACCTATCTTAGAACCTCAACAAAAGTTTGATCGCATGTGTCAATAAATGATGCTGACAAACTAAGAATACAACTTAGACAGCTGTGCTTAACTATAAAATACGAAAGATTTGAAATCAAAATATATGCTCACACCTTATTTATCATAAATTATGTGATTTTGAACCACCACCACCTAATGAGACTCAGCTTTCTAAAGAATAATGCATGGCCTACATACTTCACAGTAGCTGTAAAGGTAAAATAAGATAATGCATATGAAAGTTTTTGGTCAAAACCAAGGAAATGATATTTTTTGTTATTCTACAGCATCTACATGTAGGAAATATATGTAGGTAATAAGAAATCTTTTTATCATGCAAAATGACAATTGACATTAAAAATAGCTTTGTTCCAAAATGAAACATAACTTCACATTTGTCTAAATGAAACATAATTTAGCATTCTCTTTTAGCCTGTAAACATACTCAACTATTCATTCAGAAATACCCCTCCAATACAGTCCTCAGCTTTCTTTTTCTCATAAGTAAATCCTGTCCAAGAATCAACAGACATGCATTCTCTTCCTTATAGCACTGAAATTTGTCTCAGTCACCATTACCACTGCCAGTAGAACTGTTTCAACACAGTTAACACTCTAGGAAAATTTCTTTTGAGTACCTCTCACACTTACATAGACTTATTCAAAATGATTTTAACCTATTTCGTCATATTTCTAAGATTAGCCATTTTAACTGGCTCAGCCTCTTATTTTCAAATGTGCGTGCTATATAAGTTTTCATGCTTGGATCTCCTTTATGTTTTTCTCATCCTAGTTTCTGCCAATATGATCCAACCTTTTTCAGTAGACTTAGGCATTATCTTTGCATAGCCAATGTCTAAATCTTACTTGAGAGACAAAGATCCTCCATCTGATGACTCACTCCCCAAGTGACCACAATGGCTGGTGCTGCGCCACTTGAAGCCAGGAGCCAGGAACTTCCTCCAGGTCTCCCATGCGGGTGCAGGACCCTAAGTCTTTGGGCCATCCCAGACTGCCCTCCCAGGCCACAAGCAGGGAGCTGGACAGGAGAAGGGACCACCGGGATTAGAACCAGCGCCCATATGGAATCCAAGGCGAAGACTTTAGCCGCTAGGCCACCGCACCATGCTCTGGATATACTTTATTGTCTGTAAATGCATCCTTCTCTCTTCTCCCAAACCTTATTCTCTTTGTTGTCACCCTCGATAATATCATGAAGTCACTGATGATGTTTCTTTTCCTCACCTTTTATTTTTGGTATCTACTTAAGGGATTGGATCGATAAAGTGTCTTTCGAATCCATCTACCTTCCTTTCCATTTTAAACTCCAATGCTCTCATCAGGACTTTATTAGTTTTTTCCTGAAACCTTCTGACCACTTCTATTTTAATCTCTCTGCTTCAATCTCTCACAATCAGAATCCATTCCATTGAAATAATAATACTACTTGCTGCCTGGAAAATAAACCTCAGACTCTTGAAATATTTGATCAAGAACCTCACTAATCTATTTCTAACCACTTTTTGAGACTTAACTCCTGCCCGCACCATTATTTCTCTAGAGTATGTTATGTTTATGAAAACATATGTTTTCATAAAGTATGTTATGAAACTTTATAGTTTCATGTTCTGCTTCACAGTGTTCCTCAGCCTGTTTGGTTTTCGTCATTTTTCAAAAGCTGTTTTTCTTTTCAGTCTATGAAATGTGTCACTTTCTCTGTAACACATTTTCTATAATGCTTTTTGATAAAACTAACCCTTCTTCCTTTTATACTCTTCAACTGCTTCTAGCATTAAATTGTAGCTGTAGATGTGTTTTCCTCCTCCACGGTGTTCGACTCAAAAGCAAAAAGTGTTATTCAATTTGATTAATCAATGCTTAACAAAACACCTGACAGAGAGTACTCAATAAATAACAAACTAAAGAGACCTTGTGTAATAAATATGGAGGAAACTCTAAGAACAATTCTGAGTTTTCAAACATTAACTATATCATACTGAATATTTGGTTAATGTTAGAATAAAAATGAAAATCAACATAAGTTATCCATTATAATCCCTTTAGTTTTAAATATAAAGCAAACCAGTTAAACTTCTCTCTTGTAGAGTCAGTTTGGAGGGAGGCAGGGAACATTTATGCAAAAATCCAAGTATCTGTAAAATACATAGAAATCAAATATGAGACCATCACTATTATTACTAGAAGAGCAATGTGAGACTACTAGTGCCTATTAAAATTTTTATAGATGAAAGAACTAAAGGTATTTTAAAGGCCAAAAATAACAAATTCAATTAAAATTAATACTAGGTAAAATTGGATACATGCAAGGACAGTGCTAAATTAGTATCATGAAATGTTTTACATAACTCTAAAATATTTTTATTAAATATTATAATACTGCATTCAATCATGCTCTATAATTCTAGCTTGTCAGCAAATCACAACCTGTGAGCCAAATCTACCCCTTCACCTGTTTTTGCAGATAAAGCTTTATTGAAGCACAGGTATTCATTTGTGTATTGTCAGGGTCTATGTTTGGCCTACAGTAAGAAAGCAGAAGAGTGGAAGGCCTAAGATATTTAGTATCTGCCCTTTAGCAAAAACAAAACAAAACAAAACAAAAAACTCCACCTATAGATATCAGTTGAAAGCCAAGCCAACTATATTTGTGGATTTTTTAAATATACTAAAACTTAAAATCTTCATGCAAAGATTTCTTCATACAAATATCAAAAAGTCATAAGAAGCTTATCGTTTGAAATATACAGATGTTACGTGCATAGTAGAGATAAAGAATACATATACAGAATTTTTGAAGATAAAATATTTTACTTTTAAACCTTTAGCATAAGCTGGCCAACTTATTCTTCACTAGCTAAAAGGAAGTGGTGCCTCTTAAAAGAGTCAGCTACTGAAAATGAACTTTTCTGTCACTGTTACATCACTAAAAGGTAAAAATTTATTCTTCCTATAGGAATAACACGCTAAAGTTAAATAAAAAATCCATCATTTTCTTTTAAATTAGGGGAAGGAAATCTGGAACAGAGAAAGACAAAAAGAGGGAGGAAAAGAAGAACAGAAAGAGATTGGAAAGAGGGAAGAGAATCCACCATACCTCATTCTCTAAGTGATATGAAGCCAATTTGTGTACCAAAATTAACGCCATCTCGGACATGGGAGAAAAACTTGTCAGGATGGCACGCTGTACAGAGGCTCAGATCTTGGTTCTGGTCCTGAATGTTATGTGGAAGAATGCCTCCTCGCTCTAGAAGAATCCTTAAGGTAAAGATTTTTCAAAATACATCAAGAGTTTATTTTACAGCCAAGGTGATACAAAAATAAATAAATAAATAAATGCTGGAATGAAATGGAATATGGACTAGTCAGGAAGTGGTAAATGCACACACTATACAATCCTCCATGGTGTCCTAAGACATCTCAGTACAGAATTTTACAATCAAAATCAAATACTTAAGAAGAAACTTCTCAAGTTAACAAGGTATTTGTAAAGAAAGAAAGCTTGCTTCTCCTTAAACACTTTATGATATATAAGAGTAATAAAATAGGGACATTTATTCCACAAATCGTATTTAAGAATAACTTTCAACCCTTTCTGCTTACAACTAAATGAGGCCTAATTTGAGTAAGGCTTTGCTGACTGGACTAGAAATAGGATTCAAATCAGCCATCAGTTTTCCTTACAGAAATGACAAATAGGAGCCAAGACCATGGTGTAGTGCTGCTGTTGACACCAGCATCCCATGTAGTAATGGTTCACACCCTGGTTGTCCTATTTCCAATGCAGCTCTCTGGTAACAGCCTGAGAAAGTGGCAGAAGATGGCTCAAGCATCCAGACCCCTGCCATCCTCTAGTGTGACCTGGATAGAGTTCTAGGCTCCTGGATTAACCTGGCCCAACCCTAGCTGTTGTGGCCATTTGGAGAGCAAACTAATGGATGGAAGCTCTATCTCTGTCTTTTCCCATTTCAAATAAAGTAAATAAAACTGTTAAAAATACAAATGACCATTTTTGGCAGATACTTAAAAGGAAACTTTACAAATTCAAAAATTCAGGGAAACAGAAATCTTTAAAATGATTGTATGTTTATGTTATGTAATATATTTGCTAAGAATTATATTCCTGTTACTGAGAGCAAAAATAATTGAAACTATCAATTTCCTGCTAGTTAAATATATTTAGGAGAACTTATTTGGAGAATGTGAAATAAAACATATCAATCTTTTGCATAAAGTTTAAATAGAGCTCTTAAGATTAAATATCTACTGCTTCATTCCCCACTTAAAAAAAAAAAAAAGACTTATTTATTTAAAAGTCAGAGTGACTGGCTCCTGGCATTGGATAGGCTCAGCTCTGCCACTGCGGCCATTTGGAGAGTGAACCAGCAGATGGAAGACCTTTCTGACTCTCTTTCTCCAATAAAAGATAAATACATATTTTTAAAATGTCAGAATTACAGAGAGAGTGGGAGAGACAAGAGAGAGAAAGATCTTCCATCTGCTGGTTCATCTCTAAGACAGCCCAAGTAGCCAGGACTGGTCCAGGGCAAAACCAGGAGGCAGGAGCCTCATGCAGCGCTTCCATATGACTGACAGAAGCTCACACTCCTAGGCCATCTTCTGGTGCTTTGCCAGGGCCGATACAGGAAGCCGGGTTGAACTCCTAACAGCCAGGATATGAACCATATAGCATGCAAGTGTTGCAGGTGGTGACTTTACCCTCTATGACACAATGCTAGTTCCTCTTCCTTCATTTTAAGATCAGTAAGTGATATCAGTCAAGAAAAGTTCTAGTATATAAACTCAGAGAGCAGACAGCATATTTAAAGTGAGTTTCTGGAAATATACATGCATCCATGTTACCACTTAAACATCTTTTGGCTTAATTTTTCTTAGACTGTTTGTAAAATAGTACTATTTGTACAATGTGCATTTGAAAAGCAGTAGTCAACAATGAGTTTCAGAATGAAATCAATCTTACCTTGTAGCTTTTCGAATGTCAATATAGGGATTTGGTGAGTCAAGCATTCTTACACAAGCAGGATGAAGATTATGAAATTCATTTGCTAATTCCCTTGGAAGAGTAAAACAGCAAGGTCCTACTGAAGGTCCCAGCACAACAATAATATCTTCCAAACGACAGCCATATTCTGTTATCATAGCATGTACCGTGGCCATTGCAACACCTAACAAAGTACCTTTCCAACCTGATAAACACGGGAAAAAGGGACAGATAAGGAAAGTTAAAACATAACAAAATTCCACCTATCTTTATGTCTATGTTTAAAATGAACAGATTGTGTATACTTCAAAGTCCAAAAATAAAAAATGAATCACTACACTAATAACATACTATTATTTTTTCAATGCAATATACCATACAAAGCACCTGAAACAGAATAAACATTAATTGGGAGTTTCTTTCCATTACTTTTCAAAACTGTTTGATATGTTAGGTTTCCACTGGTATTCTTTTTTTTTTTTTTTTTTTGCTTCTTTGTTTGTTTGTAACATGCTGTTCTCAAACTTCCTCCATACACAGCATGTATGAGAATTTCCTGCCTTTTGTTTATTAGTTGTTAGGTTTAATGTCTCCCCAATCTTGGATATTTTACAGGTAAATGTTTCAAAGCCTAAGAAGTAACAAATAATATCTCCTTTTTTATATCCAGAAACTGAGATTCAAATTTTAAATAGACTGACAATGTAAATCTGACTTCTGCTCATCCAATTCCATGACTTTAGGTGATTAAAAAGAACGAATGTTACTTTTTCCTTTATCTTTGGTCTACAGAACAAAGGAATCATAGTTTACAAGTGATAGTGACTGAAGAGCATCCCTCATTTCACATAGAATTATAACCACTGGAGAGCCCAGATATTATTTAAAAATACTTTCTGAAGACAACATAACATCTAAACTTTCAGATTAATTACAGAAAAATATAATTAGCTAAACTAGATGCAATTTTCCAAGCAAACTTTGCTACTTTTACACATGGTACTCATGTCTGCTTCTGTACAAACAGTTTTGTACAACATGCCTAGCATGACCCCCCCTCTTCCTTGGCTTCATGGGTGCTCAACTAGAAGCATTATCATTCCTCTATCTGTGTTTTGAAAAGCATCAAGGGAGTTGATTTTATTTTTATTACAATAACTGAGTGTGCTACTGACATGAAGAATTTTGAGAGCAAAACATACTGCATTTGCAGTGTAGGATTACATTGTCCAAAATACCACCCTTGCAGAGAAAGACTAGCACCTAGCTAAATCCCACAGATTACCCAGGAATCCACCTAGGAACCACTTCCTTTGGGATTACTACCCTGGCTCATGTTTTCTGATTTGGACACTCTTTTTTTTTTGCTCCAAAAATAAGAGTATGCGGGCCCCATCCCTATCATTACACTTACCACACAATAATACAATTGTTTATCACGCTCACCAGAAAGAAATTCTGAGTGCTTCATTAAGTAAACTTACCAGCATGAGCAACTCCACATGCTTTTTTGACAGGATCAGCAAAAACTATAGGGATACAGTCAGCACCAAGGGCTGCTATCGTGACTCCTCTCTGATTTGTAGTTATTCCATCGTAAGATGCAGGCTCTTTCCTTCCCATAATCCAGACGTCATTAGCATGATCAGTCTGATTATCAAAGATGTGTGACAAAAACGTTTTGGAAGTGAGATTTCCCATACTGTAAGCTTTCCTGAAATTACTCATTTCAGAACAAAATTACATAATCCTGTAATATTACTAAACATATTACTTCAACGAAACATATTACTTTTATACATAGCAAAATACCAAATGAAGTATTTCTCATGTTTTAGTCCAAAGATTCAGACTTAAACTTTAAAAAATTATAGTCCATCATAAATACCTCCCAATAGAAATAGGTGTTTACTTGCAGCACTTTCCACAAGGTGGGATTCCACCTTTATTTTAAATAAAATTGACATTTTTACTTTTTCTAGACTCAAGTAACATTAGAATTTGGTAAGGAATAAGGTTATATATGATTCTATTTTCTTTGGCAGTGATGTGAAAATCATGATCTTTCTTTTCTAGAACTAAACACTTTTCAATCTACATCAAAAACAGGAGCGAATGGTACTACAATTCTTGTGAATTAACCACACTTTTAGAATTCAAGAACTCCAAATGAAATATATAAATATTTCCTAGATATCATAAAATTTTATATAATACACCAGATGCAAAAGTTAAATAGCTTAAAATCCATGCCATTCAGTCAACTAAGAAACATACTTCAGATTCCAAAATACAAAGTATTATACCTTTATCCGGTAAAATTTCTTCACATTAAATCCTGCAGTATTTGCCAATCTACGTAGATTTTCTTGAACAACTGCCTTGGGGTCTCTCCTTTTGGAACTACTGAAGAGATTGAATGAGCTAAGGGTTGGTATGTAAGATATGCCACCTGTTCTTGTTGTAAATCCATGTGTGAAAATATCTGTTGATGATAAGGGATCAGATTTAAAATGTCCATAAAATGTTATAAAGCCAAGAGTATTAAATATACCTAAATTTGGGCGACCTGTGTTCATTTCTCTGGCTTCTGACTTCTATAGCACTTTGTACTTCCCTACTGTCTTCTTGCTCTGTGCTTGCTTGTTTTATGTTCCTATGAGATGATAGCTCTTCAAAGCATGTTCTGCTCCACCTGTCTTTGCTACACCCAACAGCATACAGTCCCCTGTAAACACTACAACCGAAAAGATGATTTTAAATTTCACTCCTTCGAGAAGGTGCCACTTCGAAGTTTCATATTTTCCACATTATAAATCTCACTGTAAAGGAGAGCTGGGATTTTGTTTTCTATTATTAAAGCAGAATTTTTGAGAAGTAGACTTCATTTATTTAGGGTAACTTTGTAGGAGTCATTCTTTGACATCCCTGACATCACACAGGCCATCTACGACACCCCCACATGACAACTGATGATATCAAGCAGTAATCGCACAATTCCATCCAAAGGAGGAAGAGAGGAACAATCTCTGAAGACAGGTTGAGTTTTCTCATTCATGGCTAAATAAAGATACTGTTTAACATACCTGGGATCAAAGGAGATGTGATAATAGTTAATTCTCCCTTCAGTGCTGGCAAACTACTCAAATATGTTTCTATCTCATTCTGGATTTCTTCTAGTTTTTGAGCTGTAATCACATTTACTTCAGGGGATTGTTTCAAAAAGCTCTCCTTCGAAGTCATCTGTAAATCTTCAAACTCAAAATTGTAAACATCAGTGAAGAGGTGGTCAATAAAGGCCTTCATTAATGCTTTCCTGTGCAAGGGGACAATGACCTTAATGCTGCTCAGATTTTTTTCATCAATTTTTTGTTTAATAGTATACAATGAGGCAGCCATGCTGGGATTGTTAACAGTCTCAAATTCCCTCAAAAGAATTGATAAGCCATTGCTCGTTTCTAATTCACAATTATCATGTTCACCATTCTTTTCACAGCTGATGGAACTGCAACACATTATGCAAAGGAATTTGGCCTTGGCAGCATGGTGGAATTTGACGGCATTCAATGCCTTCAGTAATCTCTGATGGCAGTTTTTCTGAGCACTCAGTTTCAAATCAAACAGATCAATCACAACTGCTTCTGCCATCTTTCAATATCATAAGTTCTTCAAAGACTTTTCTGCCGACTTGATCTCCTGTAAAGAAAAACTGGCATAAAAATATATCACCTTCTTGCAGATGTAACAGAAATATATAGGTTGTAAAAGTGAATGCACTGATCTGAGAATGTGATCAAAATAGTAAATATAGGCCATTTGCAGCAAAGTTAATGCACTACAAGACAACCAAAACAATTAACACGAAGTCATCATTTAATCGCTGAAAGTTTTGGTATTTTTCCAAAAAAAAGAAGTTCCTCTAAATTGTTTTACCTTTATACAGAAATTTTAATTACGGAATTACTTGTTGAGGGACACAAAAACTTGTTTCTTAATTATAGGTGTTAACCTATGTGATATGTCATTGATCCAGACATGACTGTCATATTAGGTCACACCTCTTCATAGAAAATAGGAGATCCTGCACCGGAAAATCGCGTCTTGAAGGAAATGCAAGTTGAGAAATTTGGAACTCCCAGGATTTACATAGCACTTCACGGACATGTGGGGGATTTGGGCTCCTACCTTTCTGACTTTCCAGGTGCAGATTTTCTCATTTCCAACCCCAATCCGCAGGGCTGCCTCAGCCTCTGCTGATCTCCTCACGTGGGATCCGTTGAGGATCATTTCCCGTTTTGACAAGGTGACCGCTTCCTTCACTCTGCATTGTGGATTTCCACTCGGGGACCCTGTCATCGCCAGGTCCCTGTTACCCCAACCCGTGATCTGCCCCTAGAGTTCTGAGCCTACCTAAGTCCACCCACGCCCGGCTCACCACCTCCAAGAACTCTGTGAGGAACTGATGCACACCTGGGGCGAACTCTGTGGTCCTAGCCCCCTGGCACCCACGTTCTTTTGCATACCTCATCTGCTGCTGGGAGCTCATTAGGACCGGCCGCCCCCGACTTCTGACCTGGGTCTCATTGGAATCCGGAGCCCCGAAGTTGGTCACCTGAAACGAGAAGCGACGCACGCTCCACCTCACCTCACCTCACCCATCCCACGTGAGTCTCGAGGATCCCCGCGCTCGCATCGACCTGGACTCTCCGGTGCAAACGCAGGCCGGGGCTCGGCCGGCCAACTGCAGCCCGACAGCACGGAGCTCCCGGGTCGAGCTGGGCTGTGGGGCGTGCACCGGGCGGCCTCGGCGCGCCGAGCGCAGGCGTCGGGGAACCCCGGGATGAGCTCAGCGCGCGCGCCCGCCGCGCCTCAGCAGTTCCGGGTCAGGGCGGCCGGCAGCTCCAGCGTCTTGCGGCCCCGGCGGTCAAGGGAAGAGGAACAGGATCCCGAGGCGCCGGAGAGGCCTCTGGCCGAAGCTAAGGCGGGTCAGCAGGCGAGAAGAAGGCAGGCAGGCGTTGGAAAAGGGGATAAGGGGCTGGCGGGCCCCGTGAGGAGGGGAGGCGGGGAGCTGGGCCGTGGGAAGCACCTCAGGATTCTAGGCACTGTTAGAATGGTGGCCTTTTCCGCTGCGAGCTGGAGTCCGACCCTTCCCCACGCGGCCGACGTCCCTCCCCGAGCCAAGCCCGGTGGTCGCGGCTCCTGGTTGAATCCTCCAGAGCCCAGGCGTGGGAACAGCACCGGGTTACTTCTTAGCAGCTGCCGAACACTAGGTTTCCGTGAGGGAAATTCCGCCTGTGCTTTGTTTCCAGAAACAAGTTGCTTGGTCAGGTCCCCTCCACCCCCAGCCTTTCTGCTGACTCGGCTTTTCCTGAGCTTCCCTTGACAGTTCCCATGGCCTGCGTGCCCTTTGAAAAACATGGGTTGCTGATAAGAAAGTACAGGGTGCAAATCCTTAGATCCTCAGGGAAGAGACAACTCAGCATCCTTTATCTGTACTCCTAGAGTTTATTTTTTAAGTGTGGAGCAGCAGCTTTATGGGGAGTAGGTGTTGTGGAGTAAGGAAAAACATATCCAGCCTTCATAAAGGAAGCGAGAGAGACTGCTAGCCTGTGGAACGGGTTATGATAGGAGTGAGACCTTTTATCTGTATTGTTTGTGGAAGGGCTGAAGAATTTTTACCTGAATGAGAAAGAATCTCGGATTGGAGGGAGTTTAGACGAGCCCTTGCATGGGCTGTTGCTTCTGTTTCACAAGAGGGCAAGGCCAGAGTACGGACTTCACTTTTCAGTGTTCTTGGCAAATGGTTTTCTTGAGATTTGCGTTCCTTGGACATTTATTAAAAACCCTAATTCGGGCCCGGCACGATGGCGTAGTGGTTAAAGTCCTCGCCTTGCACGCGCCAGGATCCCATATGGGTGCTGGTTCTAATCCCAATAGCCCCACTTCACATCCAGCTCCCTGCTTGTGGCCTGGGAAAACAGTTGAGGACAGCCCAAAGCTTTGGGACTCTGCACCCATGTGGGAGACTTGGAGGAAGTTCCTGGCTCCTGGCTTCAGATTGGCTCAGCTCCAGCTGTTGCAGTCACTTTGGGAGTGAACCAATGGATGGAAGCTTTTCCTCTGTGTCTCTCCTCCTCTCTGTATATCCGCCTTTCCAATAAAAATAAATAAATCTTAAAAAAAAAAAACAAGCCCTAATTGGTAGATGGAGGTAAATTAGGAGGTGCTCTTATTGCCCTAGGATTCTTTTATGAGACTCTTAGCTCAAACAAAGTAAAGATGCCTTAGTTATGAAGTGAATTTAAAACATTTATATCTGCTCTTATGGGCAGTGATGGGAATTCATATTCTTTCAGGCAACAGTAGTGCAGCAAAGGCAAGAAAATAATCAAAACAGCAAAGTTAGGCAGATGGTGTTAAATTGTTTATGTACCATTTTCTTTTTTTTTTAATTAATTTATTTAAAAGGCAGAGTAACAGAAAAGAAGAGACAAATCTTCCATGTGCTTCTTCACTCTTCAGACAGCCACAGTGGCTGGAGCAGAGACAGGCCCAAGCCAGGATCCAGGAGCTTCTTCCAGGTCTGGGGTGTGGGCGCAGGGGCCCAGCCTCCTGGGCCATCCTTCACTACTTTCCCACAACTAATAAGAGAGCTGGATAGGGAGTAGAGTAGCTGGGGCTTGAACTACTGCCCAGATGGGATGGCAGCATTGCATGGGGTGGCTTAACCCAGTACTATACCCAATGTTAGCCCTGGAGTGTTTTTTTACCTTCCGGTCTTATCCTCATCTAATACTTCCCCTATGTCCTCACTCACGTGCTCCCCTACTTCTCAGTCCTGGCTGAAAGTCAGAACTACACATGGCACTTAAAAAAAATTATCATGCATAGATAATTAATCAGAAGCTATAAGTGTCATGTCTGGGCATGTTTTTCTTATCTTTTTCTGTCTCTTTTTAATTAAGGATTGGGTTGTTAATTTGAAATACAGATCTACAGTCAGCAAGGAAAAGGAAGAGAACTTCTATCCACTGTTTCACGCTTCAAATGATGCTAGTAGTAGTGACTGGGTTAAGGCCAAAGCCAAAAGAACTGCATCCAGGTGTCCCACATGAGTGGCAGATGTCCAAGCACTTGAAACATCTTCAGATTCCCCAGCTGCAGCAAGGAGCTGGGTTAGAAGTAGACTAGCAGAGATTAGAACTAGTGCCCATGTTAGATGCCGTCACCGATTACGGCAGTTTATCGTGCTGCTCCACAATGCCAGATTTCATCCTTTTTGAAAAATAATTTCCCTGTTCCTGAGCCACTTACAGGCTATTCTTTGGATGGGCCACATGATTGTACCCTTTACATTTTCTATTCCTTGTACTTAGAACCCCCTTCTCTTAATATGCCAGTTTATCTGCTGCTGCTTCAAAATTTTTGAAGTTCAAATGGAACTGTCCCAGAATCCCCATCCCTTCAAAGAGGAAAATTAATATATTCTTTATTAGAATTTGTTCGTGTACAAAAATCCTTCTAATGCATGCCATCTGGATCTGTAGCCAACACATAAATGGAAAATGTTGATTAAACATTGAATTATATACTTTGGAAAGATAAAAAACTGTAAGTAATGCTTTTTTAAAATAAAAGGAAAAGCCAATGAAACCAGATTGTGGTTTAAAAAGTAAAAAAGATACCTTGAATTTTTAACTTTAGCCTCAAACAGTTATATTTGTGTTACCAATCTTGAAAAAGTCCAAGGGCTTTTTTTGGCACATGATCTGCTGTGTGGAGTTCTGCATTTGATCTCTTGCATAAGTGATACTTACATAGGCAAAAATTTCATAACATTTTGTCCCAGTAGCATGAGAGTAACTTAAAGGAACCTTTGAAGTAGCCTGAGTGCATACTTATTATTTATAATCTTTTATAGTTATCTCACACTTATTTTATCTTTCAAAAAATGTTAAACATGGAATTTAAAAAAACAAATTTCATAGTATTTTAGTAGTTCTATAACATTTAATTAAGTCATGAAAATGCATTATTATAAAGTACAAATAGAATAAACAAATTTGGAAACAAACACAGAGAACTCATAATGGTTCACTGGTAGAAGCAGAAATAAGCAGACATAGTAGAGAGGAGTTTCCTGATAATGAGTGTTTAGCATAATGTGGGAATTGGCCCCTCATGACTTATAAAGGAAATAGGGTGAGTTAATTGGTTAGAGGTTAAGTGTAGATAAGTTAAGAAAGCATTGACTGAGTTTCTCTTACTGAATTATTATGTGTCTTTATCCCTCATTGAGACTTAGACAGATAGAGCCTGCCTGTTAAGGGGGAACTACTGGGGAAATCCCATGGCATTCTTACAACACCATGTACATTTTCTCTTGAGAACAAGTGTAATTTTAAAAAGCTGTGAACAGTCGTTTTAAAGTCATTTACACTGAGTTCCTGGGTTTTTCCAGAAAAGGCCATGTAATGCATGCAAATTCACTTATCAAAAGCTGTGGTAGTTCCTAGGGCTGTGGCTAATTTCTACCAACTCAGTGGTTTATAATAAAAGTTTATTTCATCACAATTGTGGAGGTCAGTTATGAAGTTAATAGGACCTTGCACCCTTTGAAGGTGTCCTTGTCTTTTTCATCTTATAATGGCTCCACATGTTCCTTCATTAGAGGCTGCATGATTTGGAGTTCTCTGCTTATATCTTCATACAGCCTTATCTGTGTATCTGAGTATCCAGATCTCTCTACTTTTCTCTTAAAAGAATAGCTGCACCCAAATGGGATCCTGGCACATGCAAGGTGAGGACTTCAGCTACTGTGCCAGGCCCCATCTGTCTTTTTAATAGAACTGTTTCTATGTCTCTGTTATACCATGATAAGTAATAATACATACTTTAGAGTATGATAGGATGAGAAGGCTCTATAATGAAAAAACAAAACCTTGATGAAGTAGATTGAAGTGGATACAGAAAAGGGAAGCCATCCTGTGTTCATGCTTGGGAGTGTCAATTATTCTTAGAATTCCTGTACTACATAAAATACACAGATTCAATACAATGTCAAAATGCAAATGATATCTTTCACAGAACCAGAAGAAACAATAATAACATTTCCATGAACTCATCAAAAGCTTGGGGAAACAAGGCAGTCATGAGCCCGAACAAACCCCTATATTATCGAGTTTGAAATGTACCACAAAGCTATAGCAATTAGAACAGCATTAATGGACTGCTTCAGCGCCCAAGTTTACTGCTGCATAGATGGAAGTAGAAGTCTGTCCTTAAGGTAGTCATGAGACTTCTAGTTTATTTAACAATTTCCTGCTGAAGATGGTATTACCCAATCCACCACTGAAGACTGGTCTGTACCTCCCCTGCTACAGCCACTCAGTGGGTAGGAAAATAACCAAGTGATCTTAGGGTTATTTTTCATAAGTTCATAAACAAAATGGAATTAAGGATGAAAAAAATCAATGCCAGTTTAAAAAATTACATTTTCATAAAAACATGCATAGATCAATGGTTCAGAATTGAGTCTAGTAAAAGCCCACACAAGTACCAACAGTGGCTAAGAATATGCAATGGAGAAAGCATAGCTTTTTTAGTAAACTGTTTTCAGAAAATGGGATATCCAGATGCATAGCAAAGAAACCCTTTCCATGTCACTTTCCCATATACAGAAGTCAGATCAAAGAAAGTATAAGCCCAAATTGCAGGCCTGAAACAAATTGCTCAAAGGAAACAGAAAAAAAATTCAGGATATTGATATGAGCAGGATAATCTCTCCAAAGCACACCAGAAAAAGCAAAAATAGACAAGCAAAATTTCATGAAAATAAAATAGCTTGTATAACAAATGAAAGACTCAGCAGTTAGAAAAGATCCTACAAAATGAAGGACAATATTTGTGATACATCTGACGAAAGGTTAATAACCAAAATATGGAACTCAAGAGCAAAGAAGAAAATAGAAAAGAAAATTGGATGAAACAAATCAAGAGACATTTGTCAGAAGAAGACATAAAATAGGTAACAGGTACATCATGAAAATATCCGATTTCATTAATTTAGAGTATATGAGTGTATGCAAAGGAAATTATATCAGTCTGTTGAAGAATCAGCACTCCTGTGCTTATTACAATTACATGCACAGTAACAAAAATGGAAACAACCTAAGTGTCCATCCAATGATGAATGGATAAAGAAACTGTACATATTCACGATGAAATT